TTCTAGCAGCTTATCCCAAGGAAGCATCAGACACACCATTCATAAATATGAATGTTTACTGCAGTACTATTTATAATAATGAAAACTGGAAATAACTCATATACTAAACCATTGTGCAGTTGTTAAGTGTCAAGTTCTCCAAGGCTGACCAAACACCATAGAGCATTAGGTGTGTGTGTGGCGGGGGGCTGATCACAAAGCTATACATGTGAACACATGTGATTCTGATTGTTTTTTAAGTATGACTAACATGTATTTAAAAAGCTGGGCAGGATGGTCACTAAAATATTAACAGTGCTGATTCTTTTTTTTTTTTGTCTTTCTTTTTTTATATATATATTTTTATTGATTTTTTTTTGCCCCCCTCCCTCCCTCTCATACATACCCTCCCTCCCCAGAGTTTTATGTCCATTGGTTGTACTTATATGCATGTACACAAGTCCTTTGGTTGAACAGTGCTGATTCTTGAGTCACATGATCTGTTTAAATTTTCTTCCATATTCTTTTCTGATTCTCCCAAATTTTCTGCAATGAATAGTTGAGTTGCCACTACTATAATTGGCAAAGGAATGTTTGGGTGTTTTTTTAAAAATTATTTTTTAAATATATTTTATTGATTTTCTTCAGAGAAGGGAGAGGGAGAGGGAGAGGGAGTTAGAAACATTGATGAGAAACATTGATCAGCTGCCTCCTGCACACCACCTATTGGGGATGTGCCTGCAATCAAGGTACATGCCCTTGACTGGAATCGAACTGGGACCCTTCAGTCCGCAGGCCGACGCTCTATCCACTGAGCCAAACGGTTAGGGCATGTTTGGGGTTTTAAATGTGCCCAACAAGGTAAGGAAAGGAGGCCGAGACCGGTTTGGCTCAATGGATAGAGCGTCGGCTTGGGGACTGAAGGGTCCCGGGTTCGATTCCGGTCAAGGGCATGTACCTTGGTTGCGGGCATATCCCCAGTAGGGGGTGTGCAAGAAGCAGCTGATAGATGACACTTTCTCATCGATGTTTCTAACTCTCTATCTCTCTCCCTTCCTCTCTGTACAAAATCAATAAAATATATATATATATATATTTTTTTTTTAAAAAGGTAAGGAAAGGAGGAAGAACAAGAGATACTAGGGTCTCATAGGTGCATCCGTGGTGCCAGGAATCACCTTACCTGACTATACTATTAGCCTTCTAGACTCTCTATTCCAATCTTACAGATGAGAAAACAGACTCAGAGAGGTCAAGCAACTTGCCCCAGGTCACGCAGCCAGAGATGCTGGAAGCCAAGCCCAGATCTGTCTGAGTCCACAGCCCAGGATCATTATATCCCACTGCTTGCACACATCCCCACACATGCTTGGAGGGAAAATGTTTTTTTAAAAACACAAGAAACAATCATTCTGATCTTAGAATCTCTAGGCCATCGGGCTTCTAGCCTGCCTGTTGGTCCTGTGCATGATAATACTGTGAAGAGCAGGCATGATTCTGCCTGTTGGTGCAGCATTGGATATCTATTTTCTCAACCCATGCTCACAGGAACACCCATAAAGTGGACAAGGGAGGGATGAGCCTCTTATCAGCTATAGAGCAAGAGCACGGTACCGTCAAGAAGGAAAGTGAGATCAGGTCAAAGTTGCTTGATGAACAAGGTGTGGCTGTGCAAGCTGCTCCTGCCCTCTTCCCCAGCCCTTCAGCAGAGCCCTCACATTTCCTCCAGAAACAGCAAAATCCAGGATCCACTGACACCAACGAGGCCAAAGAGTCAACTCCAGAGCAGTGAAATCAATTCAGCTTTAATGACAGCGCGTAATTGAGACAGGAGGCGCCTGAATGAGGGCGCAGGCTTTACCAGGTTGACCTGAATGGCTACCGGGACAACTGGGGCTCCATCTGAGACAGGCAGGCTCCACCGGCTCCTCTCATCTTCCTGAGCTCCCGGCGCTCCAGCGCTGGGAGGAAATTTTTGAAGTCAAGCTGCAGGAAGGAGAGAATGGGATCAACTTTTATTTGCTTGTCAAAGAGGTGACACAGTTGACTCTTGAACAATATGCGGGTGAGTGACACCGATCCACGCCCCATGCAGTCAAAATTCCACGGATCACTTTTGACTCCTCTAAAACTTAACTCGGAATAGCCTACTGCTGACCAGAAGCTTTCCTGATAACGCAGTCTGTTAACACACAGTTTGTATGTTATATGTGTCATAGGCTGTATTCTTACAATCAATTAAGCTAGGGGGAAAAAAATGTTACTAAGAAAATCATAAGAAAAAATACATTTAGAGTACTGAATGTATTTATTTTTTTTAAAAAAAATCCATGGCCAAGACCGGTTTGGCTCAGTGGATAGAGCATTGGCCTGCGGACTCAGGTGTCCCAGGCTCGATTCCGGTCAAGGGCATGTACCTTGGTTGTGGGCACGTCCCTGGGGGAGGGGGTGTGTGTGTGCGGGTGCAGGAGGTAGCTGGTCGATGTTTCTCTCTATCGATGTTTCTAATTCTCTATCCCTCTCTCTTCCTCTCTGAAAAAAAAAAAATCAATAACATATTTAAAAATAAAAAAATAAAAATAAATCCATGTATAAGTAGGCCTGTGTAGTTCAAACCCATATTGTTCAAGAGTCAACTGTACACATTCAATTCTTTTGAAAGGAGTAGGCAGCACAGAGTGTCCCTCCACCCCTATTCCTCCCCCTCCTCCGCCCTTCTAGTCTCCCTGTCTCCTCCTTGGAGGCAAATTTCTCCCTAGTTTCTCTTAACTCCTTCCAGAGTCATGCATACTTATGCAAAGCATATATATGCACAAATGACAACCAAATTTAAAATCCACTTCTTCCCCCTCCCAGTGATTTTAGACATATTGAATACGGGACTCAACAGCCTTGGTTTGCCACTCATGGTGCAACATAATTAAACTTCTCTGAGCCTTGCTTTTCTAGTCTGTAAAATGGGGTGAAATCCTTCCCTCCCCCAGGATTGCTGTGCAGATGAAACTGGATGCAAAACTATACAAATAATTCCAATTTATGTTTAATGCTATAAACAAATGTGGAAATTGCCTGGGTCACTTGTGAGGGGGACGTGGGTCAGGGAAGTAGACACATTTGTGCCCGTCCCCAGGTCCTGAGGGTGTGACAGCGCCCCCAGGAGAAGGCAGGCTCCTCTGCGAGCTGAACAGAGGCTACAGGTCACGTGGAAGCAGCCTTCATCTTCCTGGTCTGAGGATGACATTTCTGGCTTGGAGAGCTGGGGCTTTGGAAGTGTTGCATCCTCTGTCATTTGCTGGTCTCGGGGCCACTCCTGGCATCTCTATCATGAGTCCCCCGTCCACACCTGAGGGTCAGATATTTATATGAAGGGCCCCTTCCTGTTCCTGGGTCAGAGAAGGATATCGAGGCAGGGCTGAGAAATCACTGACTTCCCCTGAAAGTTGTCCATTAATCTCCACAACTCCTCCTGGGGAACTGGGGTTCCGGGCCGAGGAGAGGGAAACTGATGAATAGACAGCCACGGAGAAGTAGGGGAGTCAGACAAACAGAATGGCAGAATCCTTCACAAGGTCAGCCAAGAGCAGGGCCTGAAAAGAGTCTCCTCTGGTCAAGGTCAGACCAGCAGACACGTATGGCCCTTTGAACTCCTGTTGGGGGCAGGCACCTTGGGGGGACCATATCCTGTCCTTCCGTCCACCCAGCTGTCCGTCTTGCCTGCTAAGACTTAGCCAGACACTAGCCCTAGTCTTGGCACAAGGCACATCCTGAGATGAATTAGGTTGGGCCAGGCTGGAACCAGCGGGTGGGAGACAAATGATGTACCAGGTGGAGGACGGATGCCCAGACCTAGAGGGTGGGAAAATGTTGGGCCAGGACCGGCAGGGAGGTTGAAGGCAGGGTGAGGGGCCTGAGCTCCCTGCATGTGTGCCGAGAGCCATGGGAGGCAAGGAAAGGAGGGACAAGGAGTGGGCTGCACGGGGACCGGCAGAGAGTCCTGGACAGAATGAAGAAGCGATGGAGAAAAAGAGTAGGTGGGAGGCAAGGTTTGGGACTTGGATCCAAGAGTAAGCCAGCTGGTGTCTGTGGATCTGTCTGTCTTCATGCCGCTAGTTTGTGCCAAAACTTCCCACTTGCCTTGAAGGCTCTGGCTTTTCCTGGGCTAAGGGATTGGACCGCCCTTGCCCTCCCCCAAGGCTCCTAGACCCCTGCACCCACAGGACCCACCTGCCCCCATCCCTGCCCCATCCCGGGGTTGGGGGGGGGGGAGGGTAAAGAGCACAGTCCCTGGAATGACACAACCTGGGAGCGAATCACTCACTAGCCGGCCGCCCTGTCCCCGCGGCTCCGGGTCACTTCCAGCTGACCTAGGGCAACCTCTTAGGCCTCAGTCCCCTCCTCTCAGAGAGGCCTAATGGAGATACCGCCCAACGTTCTGGGGAAGCTGAGAGGTCCAGAGAACAGGATAGACCCGAAGCCCAGAACCTGCCCAAGCGTCTGGCAAACACGGGAAGCTCCAGTTTCTGGACATGATGGTCTGTGCAATTCGCAATTTAAAGGGGAATCTCTCGCCAAGCCCAGAGGACTCAGGGCCCAGGGCACAGGTCCCTGCTCAGGGACCAGCCTGGGGAGGGGAGGGGAGGAGATGTGGGAAACCCGAACGGTTCCTGGTCCCAGAGCTTGCACACGTGCTGGAGAAGAGGAAGGAGAGTCATCAGGTCAGGACCGGAGAGGTTTACGTCCCCCCTTTGCCCCGCATCTCATCTCGACTGGGGGCTCAACCAGCTTGCGGACGGGGCGGTGCGGGCCGGCCTCTCTCGCCCTGAATGGGGTGGGGGGTGCGGGGCGGGGTGGGGGTGCGGGGGCGGGGCGGGTCTCCCGGGAACCGCTCCGCCCGCCACCGCTTTAAGAGGCTGCTCCGCGGCAGCGAGCGGGGCGGGAGCCGCAGCCGGAGCCAGCGGAGCCGAGTCCAACCGGCGGCAGGTGCACGACTGCGGGGCGGCGGCGGCGGCGGCGGCGGCGGCATGACCGGCCACCACGGCTGGGGCTACGGCCACAAGGACGGTAGGCGCAGACCCTGGCTGGCCCGGAGCCGCGGCGACTCATCCCCCCTCCCCCCGACCCTCAAGCCCGGCCCGGGCTCCCCGGGCTTCCCGGACCCGCAAAGCCCGCCGCACCCTTCAGGCCAGACCGGGACCCGCCCCCCCAAAATCCCCTCCAGCCCCCCAGAACCCGGCCCCCCTGCCCGGCCTGAGCCCGGGCTCCCCTGCGCCCCGCGGCGCAAAGCCCGCGCTGCGCCCCGGCCGCGCGGTGCCGCCTCCTCCGCGCAGCCCCCGGCCGCCGCCGCGCTCGCTCCGACCGGGGCCGCGATCTCCCTCTCCCCCCGCGGGCACCGGGGCTGGAGGTGACCCGGAGCCGCGGGGACAGGGCGGCCGGTCGGGGGCGGAGCGCGGTGCGTGGGTGCGAGATGGCTGCGGGATGGAGCGCGCAGGAATCTGCCCGCGTCCGGCACCGCAAGGGCAAGGGCGAATGGCCCCGGGAGAGTGTCCCCGGAGGATGTGCGGCGGCGCTTACCTGTCAGCAGGTACCGGAGGAGATGGGACCTCGGGGTGCCCACGGAGGTGTGTGGGGTGTCTCCGTGGAGCAGGGTGTCTGGATACGTCCCGGCGTGAGGCGTGGCCCGGGCCATCCTCCTCGGTGCTGCCTCAGTTTCCGTAGGATGCAAAGAGGAAGGGAGCCGAGGCAGACCACTTGCGTGTGGGCCTGCGGCAGGTCAGTTCCTTTTGGGGCTGAGATGGAGGGGGGGAGGGTGGTGGTAAGGGTTTCCCCCTTTCCCGGAGGTGAACCCTGAGGACCCAAGATCCAGGCTCCTGGGCAGACCCAGGCAGGGCAGGTGGGGGTGGGAGAAGGGCAAATTCAAGTGGGAGGAACACTCCCTACCCTCACCCCCCAAACCCCACCTCTTCTGTGGGGAGAGGCAGTCGATGGGGGTTGAGGATGGATGTCCTGGACTACACAGTCTGGGGCCAGAGGGCGTTAGAGAGATGCTGTGGTGTATCTGGCCCCTTCTGGAACCCCAAGGACACGGGGGCATCTTTTGGAGGGAGAACTCCAGATGTGGGCATGCAAAAGCTAGGAAGAGACATTCAGAGAAAGGCAACGGAGACCGGCAGAGATGGAGAGAGAGGCAGAAAAGGGGCGAGTTGACAACCCATACTAGATCATCTCCACCACCTGCTCCAAGCCAGCTTCTGTGAGCGTCAGAATTCCCTAACTCCAGCCTTCTCTCTAGCCCTGCCCACACGCTCTGAGCTTCCAGTATCCTATAGGCCTGCCCCATGGCCAGCCACCCTCAGATTGCCGGCTGCCCCTCACCCACCCAGACCTGGGCGCTCCAGTGGAGGGTCCCCGAGGGAAAAAAAAGGACAAAGGACAGAGGTGCCAGCGGGCGGCATACTCACGAGACTTCAAAAATAACCCAGGGAGTCTGGACCCCGATCTGAGTCATCCACTGGGGACACAGCTCTGTTGGCACCTGCTGCTATTTTCTCGGGAAAACGTAAGAAGCCAAAAGACAGGGAGAAGCACCAGCCGGCAAAGCTCTAAAAATAGGCCGCATCTCAGGATGTTCCTCAGGGAGAAGCCTCTCGGCTGCAGATGGAGCCTCTGGGAGGCAGGTGGTGGGTGCCGGTGGGTGTGCATGCAGGTGTGTGGGTGTGCACGCAGGGGTGTGTGTGTGTGCGTGTGTGTGCGCGCGCGCGTACCAGCATGTGTTTTGCTGTAGTCCCTTAGTGCTGATCTGGGTTTGCAACAAGCAGTCTCTGGGTAAGGGTACATACATGTGTGTCAGGTATAGTCAGCAAGGTATGTGTGTGTTTGTACGCACGTGTGTTGCTGGGCCTTGCTGCTCAGGGCCCATTGAGCTCCGGCCACTATGCACATGCGTACATATGTGAAAACTCTATGGATCGGTAGGCACATGCCTGGGGAGGACCGCTAGGGGCAGTTCATGCATGTGCTAGGCTTATACCAGTGCCCACGTGGATGTGTGCACATACCTGAGTGGGCTTCAGTCCTCTCATTGGTGAAATGAGGACCACCTTGGTTTCTACTTCACACAGTAGCTGTAAAGAACAAACACATGTCACACTGTCAAAGCCAGGATGGTGGGAGCTTTTGTTATTATTATCACAAACAACAACCCGAACATGCCCAAGGTGCAGGAAAAGGCCAGAAACCTGGTGGGGTCAGGCCAGGAACTGCAGATGCCTGGCGGGGAAGGGATCCCTCCGACCAGGTACTGGATGTTGGGAGGACTCACTGCCCAGAACCGCCCATAAGCCTATGGCTGTATTGTGCTCTCTTCCATGCACTACCTCTCTGGGCCTCCTATCAGCTCTGGGGGGTGAGGTTTTTTTTTGTTTGTTTTGTTTTGTTTTTAATATTTTATTGATTATTTATTTATTTATTTATTTTACAGAGAAGAAGGGGGAGGGATAGAGATTTAGAAACATCGATGAGAGAGAAACATCAATCAGCTGCCTCCTGGACACTCCCCACTGGGGATGTGCCCTCAACCAAGGTACATGCCCTGGAATCCAACCTGGGACCCTCGAGTCCGTAGGCCAATGCTCTATCCACTGAGCCAAACCGGTTAGGGCTGGGTGGTGAGTTTTCATGACGTCACTTCAAAGACAAGGACATGGAGGGGAAGTGACAGAGCTCCAGGCCACACACAGCTCCAAAGCAGGGGCCAAGGTCTGGAAGGACACCAGGGAGACACCTGGGCTGGCCTGAGTCCGTCCCCTCTCCCAACCCGCAGGCCCCTCACAGTGGTACAAGCTGTATCCCATTGCCCAGGGAGTCCGCCAATCACCAATCAATATCATATCCAGACAAGCTGTGTATTCGCCCAGCCTGAAGCCACTGAAGCTTTCCTACGAGGGCTGCACATCCCTCAGCATTGCCAACAATGGCCACTCCGTCCAGGTGGACTTCAACGACAGCGATGATCGATCTGGTAAGTGGACCCTCACAGACTCTGGCACCCCTCCACCTGGCGAACTCACCCTGTTTGGGGCAGGCACAGGAGGGGCAGCTTGCGGGGGGGGGAGAGGGGGTTCTACCTCTCACCAGCTGTAAAGCCGTGGCCTGAGCCTCAGTCTCCTTAGGCATCAAATGAGAGTAATGAGACCTTATTTTTTATTTATTTTTTAAAAATATATTTTGTTGACTTTTTACAGAGAGGAAGGGAGAGGGGATAGAAAGTCAGAAACATCCATGAGAGAAACATCAATCAGCTGCCTCTTGCACACCCCCTACCGGGGATGTGCCTGCAACCAAGGTACATGCCCCTGACCGGAATCGAACCTGGGACCCTTGAGTCCGCAAGCCGATGCTCTACCCACTGAGCCAAACCGGTTTCGGCAATGAGACCTTATGTTGCTCCCTAGGGTCATAGAAAGGAAAAGGGGAAAAGCTGAAGCGATGTTTGTAGTGCTGGCACACAGCAGGTGCTCAGCCGCTCAAGAAGTGCCGCTTCCCCTCCTTCTCTCTCTTTAGTGCTTTAGGTCAGGTTTGTTTCCACTGCACTCCCTGCCCCGTCACTGCAGGGCTGTGTGGCCTAAGGCTAACCCTCCTCTTTCGGTGACCTGGCCAAGCCCGGCAGCGAGAGAGAGAGAGAGAGAAAGCAGCGAAAATGTTCTGTGCCAGGCCCCTTGCTAAGGTCACGGGTAGCTCTTTTCTTCCTCTCAAGAATCTACCTCTAAGATGAGCAAGCAGGTGCCCCGGCCTGGGGGCTCGGGTGGAGCATCGTCCTGTACCCCAAAGGTTGTGGGCTTGATTCCCAGTCAGAGAACCAATCAATATTGATTGGTGATTGTGGGTTCGAAACCCAGTGTAGACAGGCAGGTACAACAGACAGCTAATCAATGTTTCTCTCACACATGGATTCCTGCCCCCCTCCTTCTTCTCTTTCTGTAAAAAATCAATAAAAATATAAGGATTTAAATGAGAGAGATGGGGGGGGGGCAAGTAAAGACTTAGTGAGCTGGGGAGGGCCCAAACCAGCCTGTCCAACTCCAAAGGTCTTCTCATTCCGCCTCAAGGTTCCAGCTCTCCTGGGCCAGAGTGAGGCCAGTGGGGATCCGTGGCGCTCTCTCCAAGGTCTCTTTGCCCTGGGAGTAAAGTCCAGGAGTTTTCATGATAAATTCCTAGGCAGAGGGCCTCAGAAGCGCTCCTCCGTGAAGGAGTTGAGTCCTTATGATCAGACTTAGGAGGGGCGGAGTGGGGCAAGGAGGAGACTTGCTGGAGATTCTTGTGTAAGAAAGTGACAGGAACTCTGCTTAACCTCCCCATCCTCCCTTCCATGCACATAATAAAAGCACTCAAGGGAACTTAAGTTTCAAATTTAAAAAAAAAAATCAAAGGTCAGCCCGGCTGGCCTGGCTCAGTGGTTGAGTATCCAGTCAGGAGGTCACATTTGATTCCTGGTCAGGGCACATGCCCAGGTTGCTGGCTCGATCCCCAGTGAGGAGCATGCAGGAGGCAGCCAATCCATCATTCTCTCTCATCATTGATGTTTCTATCTCTCTCTCTCTCCCTCTCCCTTCCTCTCTGAAATAATTTTTTTTTTTTTAATCGAAGAGGAGGGAAGTCAGATGGGACTGATGTTAGGTGCTTAGCTCTGAGTTCCCTGGTAGGCTAGGCAAAAAGGAAAAGAGGATCAGTTATCGTTCTTGCTGCAGAATCCTCAGAGAAGGGACATAGCATTTCCTGGTACAAAACTGTAAGAAAAGCCTCTCACCCAGAGCTTTGGAGAGGGACATGGGGCTCTTGATAACCAACCCTAGATTAGGTTTATGAAGGAGCAGTTTTCATATGGCTGCACCTCCTAAATGGAGGGCACTGAGGGTTCAATTCAGACTTCAGTAGCTCAATGAAGGCCACTGAATGGGGTGAGGGTAGAAGCCCAAGGGGCATGCCCCTGAGCCACTGACATGGGGGCTTGCTTTCAAGTCCGCTGGGCCTCCCTTACCAGAATACCCAGGCCTGAGAGGGCAGGGAGCCCGTGGAAAGCAGGTAGGTTTGGGGGAGAGATGATTGGGCCTGTGCTACGTCATAGCTGTGTGACCCTGGACAGAATACCCACTTCTCTGAGCCTTCGTCTCACATTTGTCCAATGGGGACAACCATGTGTCCCCCTCAAGGTCTCTGTGGGGGGTTGACCCCTATGGAGTTCAGAATGCAGTAAGCGCACAGTGAATGGCAGTGTGTTCTATGGTCAGGAGGAGGCCAAAGGAGCCAAGTTCAAGGGGTTAGGGAAGGAGTTCATTCTCTGAGAGACCACACTTGGGTCCCAGGTATGGCATGCTCAGAGGAGGGGATCCCCGAAGGCCATGTCAGGGAGCTCAGCCTAAAGGCCCTGCTTCTCAGATAAGGTAGGGCAGACAGCAAGGATTGTCCTCTCTCCTCCTGTTCCTCCCCATCTCCCTCCTTCTCTTCCTCCTCCTTCCCCTCCTCCTCCGCCTCAAGGGGCCCTCAGAGGGCAAGGCCCTGGCCTGGTCACCGTCCTGAGAGGTCTAGTGGAACTCTGAGCCCAGGGCAGTCACCTGATCCAGGGGCTCACATTCAGGCCTGGCTGGAGCTCCCTCCACTGCCAGATCCCTTTCAGCTAGAAATTCAAGAAGTCTCTGGAGGCCTTAGGCGTGGCCCCAGCTCACCAGACATCAGGGTGGGAAAGTCATAAACCAGCACAGATGGGACCTGCCAAGGAGCCCAAGGGGGTACCTGGGCCCAGCCACCAGCGTGGGGACCCTCAGGAGCCGGCCTCTGAAGAGGCAGCATGGCCTGGTGATTAGGGGCGTGGGCTCTGGACTTAACAAAAGATATGCAGGCTCATCTCTTAGCTCAGTGCCTTGCTGTGTGACCCTGGGCAAATGCTTTGCCCTCTCTGTGCCTTGGTTCCCACCTTTACAAAATAGAGGTAATAGGTTCTGGTCCTCAGGAACTACTATGAGGACTAAACAAAATATTCCTTCTGACCCAACTTTTGTTCAGCACTCCAGACATGGGGGGCATATTGTTAATGATCATTGGGGGTGGGGAGAGAAGGGGGTTGTTAGACGCAAGGTTCCGGCTTCCATGCAAACTTGGGCAGGAGGGGGATAACGGAGAGATGTATTCTGTCAGTGCCACACTCTCTGCCACCTGCAGGCCGCCAGGACTTCTGCCTGGCCCAGCTAAGGGCCCAGGGAACAGAGTGGAGACTGACCCAAGACCAATCAGCCCCACCAGTTTTCCAAATGAAAAATGTATCTCCCTCTTGGGTACTCCCCGGATCCTGGCTGGCTCTGGCGCCTGCCGGTTGTTGTGGCCTCTCTCGCGTGGATTGCCTCACGCCCCACTTCTCCCCGCAGTGGTGACTGGGGGCCCCTTGGATGGGCCCTACCGGCTCAGGCAGTTCCATTTCCACTGGGGCAAGATGCACAACGTGGGCTCGGAGCACATGGTGGATGGCAAGTCGTTCCCCTGCGAGGTAAGGACCTTCCTCAGTGGGAGTCCCTTTGGGGAAGAAGTGGGGGCCTGGATAGCCAGAGGGTTGGCAGGGGCCTGGTCTGGAGTTCTGGAGAGACTGGGGAGGAGCACCCCATGTCTTGGGGAGGAACGTCCTCCACCTACACTCCCAGCCCAGGGTCTTCTAGCCGAACTCTGCCCACGGCTGCCCTGGTCTGTGTGTCCGGAAGGAATTTTCTCAGGGACCAATCCAGTCCCGCCACACCCTTGCTACTAAGCCTTCAAGGACTGCATTTAGCATTCAAGGCCCTGCGTGCACTTGGCCTTGCAGAGCCTCCTCTTCCCCCAAGCTGTCCCCACGCTGCACTGCAAGGGGGAATGAGGCCCCAGCCCACACCTGGCTCTTTCCTGCCCACACCCCCAGGGATACTTCCTGGAATACCTTTCCCCCCCCAGGTTCCGCCCGATCACCCCCTAATTATTCTTTGGACTCCGTGCAATGCCTCTTCCCCAGGGAGTGTCCCTGGATGGCCATTATCTGTTTTATAGATAGTTCATGGAGGGCAGGGCCAGAGCCAGGTTCCCTGGGGCTCAGGAAAGGGGTGGGCCCAGAGCAAGGTGAGGCTTCGTGTGCCCTTTGGGGGCTCCCCAGGGCCACATAGGATGCTAGCTAGGCCCGGGGGTGGTTGGGCAGCCTGTCCTGCCTTCAGAGGGGCCAGGAGTCTGATGGGAGTGAGGGAAGCCTTGCTCTGAGCTCCCGGGGCCCGTGGGGTGCTGAGCACCGGCCCGGCCTGTTGCTGACCCTCTAGCTGCACTTGGTCCATTGGAACGCCAAGAAGTACAGCACCTTTGGGGAGGCGGCCTCAGCCCCTGACGGCCTGGCGGTGGTCGGTGTCTTCTTGGAGGTGAGGGGGGTTTGCCCAGGGCCAGAGGGTAGAAGGGGGGCATGAAAGGCCTGGAACTGCCCCCATTTCCAGAAGCCAGTTGTACCGGGCTCACACTATCCTCTCCCTGACAGATCGGGGCTGAGCACCCCTATATGAACCGTCTGACAGACGCACTCTACATGGTTCGGTTTAAGGTGAGACCAGGGGTCCGTGCCTCTGACCCAGAGCAGCCGGGGGGAGGGGGGATAGGAGAGAAGGGAAGAGGCTACATCATGGAGCAGACCCATACACTCTTCCATTCTGGTAGTAAGCCCTCAGTGAGATGAAGGGGGCAGGTCAGCACCTGCAGTATCCTGCACCTGACTCCCCTTCACCAGGGTCAGGGGCCCCATGGAGCGCCCAGCGTGCCATTTTGGGGGGTAAAGGATCGATAAGATACTTGTCACACCCATTCATGGATGTCCAGAAGGCAGCGCCACTCAGGGCCACTAAAGGCAAGGGACATAGGGGAAACAACATAGACTGATGAACAAGAACAGACCCGGAGATAAGGAGCCATGGGTCAGATTGCTGGACCTCAGAGGGAAGGTGGGGATAAAAGGGAGAGATCAACCAAAGGACTTATGTGCACACGTATAAGCCTAACCAGTGGCCGAGGACAATAGGGGGGCGGGGGCATGAGTGGGAGTGGTGGGGGATTGGAATGGGAGGTTAAGACAAATATGTGATACCTTAATCAATAAAGCAATTAAAAAAAATAAAATAAAAGGCAAGGGACAAGACATGTGGCCGAAGAGCTCCTGCAGCTTTTTTACATACGAACCAATGGGTGGACAGGGCCTGGCCCCGGCTGGGAGATGGCATCTGGGATCTGCCCACTATTGGCATGTGCCCACTATTTGCATCCATGAGCCAAGGAGAAGCCTAGATCCCCCATGACAGAAACAGGTAGGGGGGCTGTGGGTCTGGTCCTAGCGGGAGGTCTATGTTGACTTGTGGGTTCCCCACCCGTGCAGGGCACCAAGGCCCAGTTCACCTGCTTCCAGCCCAGTTGCCTCCTGCCTGCCAGCCGGCACTTCTGGACCTACCCGGGCTCCTTGACCACACCCCCTCTGAGTGAGAGCGTCACCTGGATTGTGCTCCGACAGCCCATCAGCATCTCTGAGAGGCAGGTCAGTCCTCCGGGTGGAGGGAGGCGGCCTTCGGGGTTCACCCCAGCGGTGTGGCTCTCCCAGCCAGCAGCCCACAGTCCGTGGGCCCACAATGGAGACCCTCATCTTTTGCTAATAAACATTTGGATTCTTAGATGGGAGTTAGCTTGGTGGACGGGTCATTAGGACAGAGACACAGGCTGGGAGGGGAGATCCCTGGATCCTGGGGGTCACGCCTACTGTGTTAGGATCTTCGATGTGGCATTTGCTGATCAGTGTTAACTAGTTGGAGTTGGAACTGGAAGCAGGTGAAGCAGGGTCAGAGGCCCTTGCGTGAATAAATAAATGAGATTGGGATCCCAAAGAGAGAATGAGCGGGGAGAACTGGGGACAAGCCCTAAGGGGAAGGGGAGGGCAGAGAGGCAGAGCTGGCTATGCCAGGTACGCCAAAATGATGCGTCTGGGATTAGAAGGGATCGCAGCACTCCATTCTGCCCTGGGTTTCTCTTCTGCCTTCTCAAGATGGAGAAGTTCCGGGGCCTGCATTTCACCTCGGTGGACGATGAGAGGATCCACATGGTGAACAACTTCCGGCCGCCACAGCCACTAATGGGCCGTTTGGTCAAGGCCTCCTTCCGGTTCTGAGCTGCCCGGCTGCCCGGCTGGCCACCAGGACACCATCTTCCCAAGGGCTTCCATGTCAGCAGACACCAAACCATCTAAGGCTCCCTGCCTGGGGGGGCTGTAGACACCCCCCCCCTTCAGCTGGCTTGCTCCTTGGCCACCCTCCAGGCTTCTCGATGGGACCCCCACGTCAGGAGACACTCTTCAGCTGCCCTGGGGACAGGAAGGACAAGAGCCGAGCATGTTCCAAGCCTGGGGCTGCCTCTGCTCCCCGAGATCCAAAGGTCCCTGGGAACCTCCTCTCGTCTTCTTCCCACTGCCAGTGGCAGCGGCCCCACCCTGAGCTCACACTGTGACCGACAAGACCAAGCTCTCAGGGGCAGGCAGCTGACATTGCCAGAAAGGCTCAAGCAATAATAATTAGAGATGGGCACACCCTCTCGGCATTACCTCTTCTGCAGGCCTCCGCCATGCGCGCACCTCACTGCCAGGCCATTAAAAAAAAGAAAAAAAGAAAAAAAAGCACCCAGTCTGCTGGAGGTGACACTGCCTTCTCCCTCCAGCCACCTGCTGCCATGGGCAGGCTCTGGCTACAGCTTATGTAGTATCTCCCCTCGTCCCCCGCCACCAAAGCCGCCTACATGACAATCCATCCACGCAATGGTTAATAAATGCATTCATCCATGCAGCAAATTCCCCTTGAGTGCCTGTGCTATGTCAAGTTCTGTTCTAAGCATTGGGGACGTGACCGTGGTGAGCCAAGCACAGGATGCTGGGAGGGACATGGGTACTTAGCAAGTCAGTGTTATAGAGAGGGCAGGCAGGGGCAATGGGGGGCAGAGAAGAGGAGGAGCCTACGACCTCATCGGGTGAAAAAAATAAATCCCAAGGCAGAGCGAAGGGAACAATGTGTTTGAAGCTGAGGGAAGAGCTGGTGTGCAAACTCAGAGGTGAGAGAGCCCAGAGTGTCTGTAGGGCTGAAAGGACCAGTGGGGCTGGAGCCTGGGACTCTCCCAGGGCTACTGGGAAGTCCTAAAGGGTCTGGGGTAGAGCCACACGTGAAAGGGGGAAGATCAGGAAAACCAGAGGGACCCCGGGAGCCCAGCTGACCCTAGGGCTCCTGTGTCCTCAGGCCTTTCCCACAATTCCTGTCCCAAGAGAGTAGCTCAGTGGAAATAAAGAGCCACCTGCTCAGCCTCCCATGCTCCTGAAGACCTGAACATTTGGGTTGCAGCTGGAGGCATTTAGATGAGACTCACAGACTGACAAGCCAGGAACTGCCAGGGCCCAGGCATGGGTCCATACCACAGGGCCAAGGAGGGGCAGCAGGCACCTGCCAGAATTTGCCTGTGTTGGAAGGTAGTTTGGGGCCAGGTGATGCCTAGTGCTTTCTGAACCTGAGAGGGGGGGGAGGGGGAGTTGTCTGCTTCCAATCCAGGAGGCCCTCGGTCTCTGCTCTAGACTTCCAGCAGCTCCCATGGCCTCTGGATGGGCAGGTGGCAGCAGGAAAGTAATGCTGCCTCTGAAGGCAAGCAAAGGGACTGACTGGGGCGAATGTCTGCTTTTGGCTTTGTGGTCCAAAGAGCTGTAATTGTCCCTCATCTGTGAAACAGGGGCTCAGAGCTAGATTTCACTGATTTACAGAAAATGAAGACATTCCATGAGTTTCACGGGACCTACACACAGCCTGGACGTCTATGCTGTGTCTCCTGGGAGCGCGGGCTCTGATGGTGTCATTTCCGGCAGCTGCAGGCGAGCTGGAAGATAGTTTGGGGACAGCCAGACCTTTGAAGCCCTGGCCCCATCCGGAAGCCTGTGGTTTCTGGGCCAGCAGGGGGCCTGGAGGAGCGCTCCCCCACCGTGTGGGTTGCCAGGCACAAAGCTGCTCACAGAGGTCCTGTGACCCTGGGTTGGGTGGAGGGCTGAGCACCAACCAGGCCGCTTTAATTGGCACCAGCAGTGGCTCCAGCAACTCGGGGGGGGGGGGGGGGGGGGGAGGGGGAGAGGGAAGGGAAGGGGGCTAATGTCAGGGCAGCAGCTCTACAGTCATTGGGGCGCCTGCCTCCATCCAGCGCCCCCTGAAGTCAGAGGTCATGCTGCGGAAAGAAACTCAGGTGTCTGGCAGCAGCCAAGAGCTCACCCACCTCAGCCAATTCGCTGAGGCCTTGCTGTAAGCTAAGACCCCTGCGGATGGACCCTCAGCACCCCTGGCACCCAAGACCCCGCCACGTCCATGCCAGGAAACGCCAGGCTCCGGCTCCTTCTGTATCTGCCCCTCTTCACACTGACACCCGGGAGACCTGAGGTTGCAGTCACGGGAACAGAGAAAGGAACGGCCGACATCTAGGGTTCCACTACCAGACCCGGTGCCCCTCACCCCCAAACGTTTCTACTTTAGCATAATTTCAGGCATATGAGGAAACAGAAAAATAACACAGGGAATACCCTCAGACTGTCCACCCACACTCCCTGTTTTATCACATTTGTTCTCTCTCCACACCCTCTTTCTCACATACATTTATTTTTTGAACTGTCTGACACAAAGTTTCAGCCATGATACCTTTTGTTGTTGTTGCTAATCCTCACCTGAGGATATATTTCCATTAATTTTTAGAGAGAGTGGGATGGAAGGGGAGAAACAGAGAGACAAAAACATCAATGTGAGAGAGACCCATCGATGGGGTTGCCTCCTGCACTCAAACCCCACCCAGGGCCAGGGATTGAGCCTACAACCAAGGTACATGCCCTTGACTGGAATGGAACCCGAAACCCTCAGTCCGCCGGCCAAAGCTCTGATCCACTGAACCAAACCGGCTAGGGGGGAGGGTCCATGATATTTCAGTGGTTTTTCCTAAAAACAAAAATATTCCCTTGCATAAACAGTTCAAGAATCAAAATCAGGAGAGTAACATGGTTGCATTACTGTTATCTAATCAACATCCCTTGTTAAGATTTTGCCAGTTGTCCCCATAATGCCTTTTGTGACCCAAATAAATCCGAAATCAGGCATTGCATTCAGTTATTCAGTCCTTTTGGTCTCCTTTTCTCGGACAGTCCCGCAGAGAAAAGGGACGTAAGGGTGGGAGATGGAATAGGCAGCCCTGGCCATAATGTCTTTCAGGACATTGGCATGGTGGGAGAGGACAGGCTGCCCAGGTAGTAGAATGGCCCTCAGGTGGGCTTGTCAGGTATGAACATGTAGAAATATCACAGTGGCACAATGTTAATTTGTTTCATTACTGGTGATGCTAACTTAGCATTTTTTAAAATATATTTTTATTGATGTTTTACAGAGAAGAAGAGAGAGGGATAGAAAGTTAGAAATATCGATGAGAGAGAATCATCGATCAGCTGCCTCTTGCACACCCCCTACTGGGGATGTGCCCGCAACCAAGGTACATGCCCTTTACCGGAATCGAACCTGGCTCACACTCTATCCATTGAGCCAAACCGATTTCGGTGGTTTGTTTTTTTTTTAATTAAAGCATAATATATACACAAAAAAGTACAGACACTCAGTGAACTTTCACAATCTGAACTTTCACAGCTGCGCAACAGCCCCCGGATCAGCAAAAGGACACTCTCAACGCTGCCACACCTCACGAGTTCCTGCTTTCCAAAGTAGCCGCCTTCCTGACTCCTAATAGTGTAAATTACATTCATCTGGTTTTGAACTTCAAAGAAATGAAATCATTCATTTCAGAAACCTCCTTAGTGTCTGGCTTTTTTGCTCATATTATGTTTGTGAGATTCGCAGAGGCGACTTTCTATAATAAACACAATACCACTCATTACAAGCCTTCAATGAAAATTAAAGAAAATATAATTCATCTCTACGCATAACTTCAAAAAATGAATGTAATGCCTTCATTGTAACATAAAGAACAGTCATTTATAATATACTAGAGGCCCGATGCACGAAACCACGGTGGGCTGCCTCTGCCTCAGCCCTCACAGCCCTGGCTTTGTCCGGAAAGACATCTGGTCTAATTAGGACATTATGCTCTTATTATATAGGATAGTAAAATAGCCTTATGTATACAAATAAGTAATTTTAAATTATTTTTTACACATTTTAAAATTGATTTTAGAGATAGGAAGGGATAGAGAGAGAGAAACATCAATTGGCTACCTTCTGCACATCCCCTATCGGGGATCAAGCCGGGAACCTGGGTTGACCCTCTTCACCCTGAAGGGACACACACACACACACACACATACACACACACACACACACTCCCTCCACCAGCTCTGGGAAGTGAGATGCTCAGGAGCTTCCTGAAGTGTGTTTACGCCCCCTCGTGGCCATCCGTGAAGCTGTAATTTGGTCTCTAGTCCATCTTAACCACCAGCAGCAGGATCCCAGCCTAGTTGTGCTGGAAAAACTTTGCCCAGCAGGTTATTTTTTGAATATTTTCCTATTGTTTGTGCTCCTGCCTTTCGGGCACAGTAAACTCTTGCTTCCTCTGCTGTCCGGGGCTCCAGCACTGGGCAGAGCAGGCAGCTGGCCAGCGCACTGAGCACCACTGGGCTACTTGGGAAAGCCCATTCATGGAGGGCTGAGACAGGGACCCCACTAGTCCCCACAGGCATGGAGGACAGAAGAGGGCATGCCAGCCAGGGGCAAAGGTTGGCAGGTAGTTCCATGGAACTGAAGATGAGTGTGAAAAAAAAAAAGCTGAATTAAATCTGACCCAGACTCCAGCAGAGCCTGGGGGTGGGGGGTGCCCTGATTACAGTGGCGGGTCCCAGTTCTTCAGACAGAAATAGCTCCAGAGCCAAGAAAAGGAGGACAGTTCTGTCTCATTCCCACAAACTTCCCTCTCCCCACCCACCGGCCTCCATTATGTGTGGCCACTGCTCAGCTGGGGGGGGGGGAGGGGTCTGCCTCCACAGCACATGGGAATGGCTGCCCCCATTCAGCAGATGGAGAAACAGAGGCTCTACATGCCGCTGAGATCCCTCACCCAAGTCACATATTCAGTAAGTGGTTGTGCTGGGGTTCTCGTCTCACTCAAGAC